AATCTCACCTGCATCAGACTGCACACACACTGGTTGCTTGGTCAGCTTCTTCCCCAAACCCTTTACGGTGCACACTGACAGGTGCTGTAACCCAGCCCAACCCAACCTGCCACAGACCTGGTCCTTAAGCACACCAGTGGGAACTGCAGCCAAGATAGGGCGATCCCCGATAACTTCCACCAGGCCCGCCCCCAGCCCCAATTCCTGCATGTGCCAATATGTACAGCAGACTAGTCTGATCTGTACCACATCCGAATCAGGTTATCCTACACTTATGGGTGTTGCAGCTTAGCTCAGCCCACACCGCACCACCCCTAAGATTGAGTCCACATGTGTGCTGATGGTGCTGCTGCCTTATCCAGCCTGGTCCACCCTCATCCCTGACCCTCAGACACGCTGTCCTGGACCATGGGAAGATACAACAAGAGTAGGAGATGGACCATATTCCCAGAACAAAGTTAGAGAAAATCTTTCAGCAGAGTGTACAGAAGAGAGACTATGAAAACTAGCAAAGGTGTTCACAACACAGCAGCTGGGAGGTGACCCCAGAAACATCCATGGCCAACAGGCAGAAAAGAGATGTCAGCTTACCAGGGGATAAGGCTCACAATCCAGGGAGAGCACCTTTGCATCCTATGACTATAGGAATCCATGACTGTGTGACTTCCATGTAGGCTAGAAAGCTGAGAAGGGCGTGGAGTGTGGCTGGGTCTTTGGGTAACCAGCCAGTCCAATTCCAGCAGCTCAGAACTTCCTGAATGCTTGAGAGGGGCCTCATGGAGGAGTCAGCACTCATACTATGGAGTGCACAGACACTGTGGGAGGTTCCCACACCTAAGCGGATGCAGCACACAGGCACCATGAGCTCATCTTGGGCAACTGGCTCACATTGGCTCAGAGAATGGCTGAAGCTGAACATGCCAGCAAAACAACGATCCTCTCCCCTTAATGAGGACAGAGGAGGCTCACCACACTCAACTTGGGTGTCACTCTGGATTCTTACCCCACCCACAAATGTTGGCCAGAGTCCTCTGGTCCCAGCCAGCACACACTGAAAGAATAGTCACTGTAAACTTCAGGCATTCCACTAAGCCATAGAGGCACATTACCTTCAGAGGAAATACCGACAAGTGTTTCCCTATATACATAAAAAACAAATGTAGAAACACAAGAAACATGAAGACAAAATGACTCCCCAAAAGGAATACTTCAGTAGTTGACTGTGGTAATGGGGAGGTGGACAAAATGCCTGAAAAGGAAATTCAAAATAATGAAGGGAACTCGCATATGACATGGTTGAAAAATTCTTCAGGAAGCTAGAGATAAAGAATTCAATGTTTCAAATAATCAATACAGCAACAGACTCAGGAGGCAGAAGGAGAAATGGAGCCAGGGACAACTCTTCTGAATTGTGTCAGACCAAAAGAAAATACATAAAGGAAAACTTGAAACAAAAAAAGGGTTTAGTACCTATAGGACACTATCACATGGCCAAACATGCATGTCTTAGGCACACTGCTGAAGGAAAAGCGTAGTGACTTAGAAGACATATTCAGTGAAATAATGGGAAACACGTGATGATGGCTGATCAAAAACTTAGTTACTATACTATCTGGCCTATCTATCTGCTTTGAGTAGTATAAAAGTTTTTATATAAATGTTTCCAAACCATGAACATGGAAGAGTTTGTTCATTTTTGCATTTTCTATTTATTTCCTTAATGTTTTCTCATTTTCACTGTAGAGATCTTTCACATCCTTAGCTACATTTATCCCAAGTATTGTGGAGGGGAGGCAGCTAGTTCAGGGTTACAAGCTTGGAAACCACTCCCCCCATCATCACCTAGGTGTTCCCTCCTGCCCACCTGTGATGCTCACTTATCATCACCTGGAACCTGAGAGGGGGCAGCACTGTATTGTGCAACCACTCCCCTCGCAAGCTCCTCTAAAGGCCCACGAAAGGGAGGGGCTCCCTCTCTTGGTCCTGTGCTTCTGTGGCTCTGGCACTCTGACTGTTGGCCAGGACACTGGGGACAGTATCCCCTGAGCATGGCTATATCCCCTGTGTGTCTGTATTCCTCACCCTCTGTCCTCTGCTTAGGTGGGACGGTGAAGATATTAATGCTAAGATGCTTTGTATTTCTAATGTGTGTGCTTTCAGAGTTCCAGGAGAGGTGAGGCCTAGCAGCAATGGAATGTGGGCAGAGAAGACAATGAAAGGTGAATGTCTACAGTTTTGTAAGTGTGTCCAGGTTGTTTACTATTTATCTCTTAGGGTAACTTACATATTGTTGGGGAAGCTGGGACATAGGTCTTTAGCTTAACGGATGGACTTCAGTGTGACGACCATTTGTTCCTCTTGGGGTTTCAATTGACTGGATTGCTATACGGACTTGGGATTTGCTATTTATAGTGGGCCCTGTTAAGCTTGGTTAATAGACTCCTTAATAAATCTTAGACTTGGGCCCGGCGCGGTGGCGCAAGTGGTTAAGGTCCTCGCCTAGCACGCCCGGGATCCCATATGGGCGCCGGTTCTAATCCCGGCAGCCCCGCTTCCCTTCCAGCTCCCTGCCTGTGGCCTGGGAAAGCAGTCGAGGACGGCCCAAAGCTTTGGTAACCTGCACCCGCGTGGGAGACCCGGAAGAGGCTCCTGGCTTCGGATCGGCATAGTATCGGCCCGTTGCGCTCACTTGGGGAGTGAATCATCGGACGGAAGATCTTCCTCTCTGTCTCTCCTCTCTGTATATCCGCCTTTCCAATGAAAAAAATAATAAAAATAAATCTTTAAAAAAAAATAATAATAAATAAATCTTAGACTTATCTGGCGTGATCTCGCTTACACCCCACAATAGTACGTGAATTTGGGGGTAGCTATTATGATTAGTACTTATCTCACAAATTCTTTCTCAGCCACAGCATTCGTATACAAATGCTATTGACTGGGCCAGGCATGATAGCTCAACTGATTAATCCCAGCCCTGCAAATGCTGGGATCCCATATGGGCACAGGTTCCTGTCCTAGCTACTCCACTTCCCATCCAGCTCCCTGCTTGTGGCTGAGAAAGCAGCAGAGGATGGCCCAAAGCCTTGGGACGCTGCACCCGTGTAGGTGGCATCTCCAAGTGAAGTCTTAATCACCATGTCAAAGCCTGCCCCTTCATAGTGGTTTTGATTGCCACTCCCCTGGTGCCTACTGATGCAAAGCATCTTTTTATTGTTTATTAATCATGTGTGTATTTTCTTGGTAGAAATGCCTATTTACTTTGCCCACTTTTGAACTACATTGTCTTTTTATCATTGACTCATAAATATGATTCATTTTAAAAAAACTCTTATAAAAACTACTTACATATTTGTTTGAGGGGTGGGGATGGAAGGAGGACTGAAGGCAAGAGTGAGAGTGCTCCCATTTACCTACCTACTCACTGCCCAAACGCCTTCAATAGTTTCACCTGGGCCGAGGGGAAGCCCAGAGCCAAGAACTCGGTCCAGATCCCCCTTGGAAAGGGCGGAAGCTCAATGAACCTCCCAAGGTGTGCAGCCAGCAGACTGCTGGAGGTGGAAGGAGGAGCCAGGAGGCCAGGTACAGTCTTAACTGCCGGATCAAAGTGCACCTTCATTTTACAGTTTAAGAAACCTTGAAGGGACTGGCGCCGTAGCCTACTGGATAAAGTCCTCCCCTTGCATGCACTGGGATGCCCATATGGGCAACAGTTAGTGTCCCACTGCCCCACTTCCTTTTTGGTTTCCTGCTTGTGGTCTGGTAAAGCAGTAGAGAATGGCCCAAAGCCTTGAGACCCTGCACCTGCATGGGAGACCCTGAAGAAGCTCCTGGGTTCCAATCGGCTCAGCTCCGATTGCTGTGGCCACTTAAGGAGTGAACCAGCGGATGGAAGATCTTTCTGTCTCTCCTTCCTTCTGTAAGTCTGACTTTGCAATAAAAATAATTAAACCTTTTTTTTAAAAAAAAAAAAAAAAGGAATCCTTGAAAAGCAGTACATCAAACCCCTGTGTATCTCTCATGCATATTTCCTAAGTGTTAACAATTTACAACTCTTGCTCTAGCCATTCAATTTCGTCCCTAAAACTTATGAGAATAAGCTGCAAAGATGCCCCTTTACTTCTAAATACGTCTCTACTTCTAAAAACACAAGGCCTTGTTTTACTTAAATAGTTTACCGTTAAAACCGGGAGACAACACCAGCAGCCAACGGAGAGACCTGGTTCAAGTTCCATGGATCACTCTACTACCGTCCTTTACCCAATCTAGGCTTTTCAGGCCGCCTTGACCTATTTCTTACCTTCTCAGGATACGGCAGGGACTCCCAGACTTGCATGGGAAGACCACCTGGGCAGCTGTTACAGCTTCCTAAAGCCAGGGTTATGGACGATGTTCTTGGGAGCCCCCAGTGGCAATTGCCAAAGGAATTCCACCTGCCGCGCTTTCCCTCTGGAATGTTCCCTGCAAGACCAGCGGGCAGGGGAAAGCGGGGTGGCAGGAACAGGGTCTGCCAGGCTCCCTCCCTCCGTAAGCGAACCAGCAGGCTCGCCCTGCTCCAGGACCCTCTGCCCGGGAGGCCGTCGGGTCCAGAGGAAGCGAGTTCTCCCCTCACGGATCCCTTTTATCCTTCCAGGCCCGAGACACGTTAGGAACGGACTTTGAGCCACTCGTGCTCTGTAGCCACCTGTAGGCACTGAGGCACGAAGCGCCCCGCCGTCTGAGGCACACAGCACGCCGACGCCAGGGCCTGGGCGTGCGGGGCCGCCTGCCCTCCTCGGGCCTCCCGCCCGCCCCTCAGGGCGCCCCTAGCCGGGGAGCAACTCGGGGCACGTGTTCCGGCGGGGCCTGCGCGTGCGCGAGGAGCCAGTCCGCCGCCCCGGCCGGCCTTCCCGCGGCGGCCCGGCCTCCCGCGCTGACCCGCGGCGCCGCCCCCTGACCCCCGCCGCTCCTCCCACCGCGGCCGCCCGCTCCGGCAGCTCGTGGGGCGCCCGGTCGGCGGCATGGAGGACGGGCGGCCGAGCGGCCTGGGGCGCGCCGTGTGCGTGCTGACCGGGGCCTCCCGCGGCTTCGGCCGCGCGCTGGCCCCGCTCTTGGCCCCGCTCCTGGCGCCGGGCTCCCTGCTGGTCTTAAACGCCCGCAGCGACGAGGCGCTGCGGCAGCTGGAGGCTGAACTGGGCGCCGGGCAGCCCGGGCTGCGCGTGGTGCGAGTGCCCGCCGACCTGGGCGCCGAGGCCGGCCTGCAGCAGCTGCTCGCCGCCGTCCGCGAGCTCCCCAGGCCCGAGGGGCTGCGGCGGCTGCTGCTTATCAACAACGCGGGTAAAACACGCGGGGACGTGTTGGGGCGGTCTCGGGGCCGCGGGGGGCGGCGCCCAGGGAGTCCGGGCAGACGCCGTCCTAGAGCTGCGGAAGGAAGGCCCGTGCCGTCGGGGCGACCCCTGCCCCGGACGGTTTAATCAGCGGTTTTTTCAAGTCACCCGTAGAATCTTCCGGCCTGTCTGCACACGCCCTCTGGCGGAGGCCTGCGTCGGCGTGTGCGGTTCTCCAAGCGGGGTGAATCCACACGGCCTCCCCAAAGCGCGTGGGGAACCTCCACAGCCTACAGCTTGGGATGGGATGGGTGGGTTCTCCTGGTTTAGGACAGGGGCATCGAGAAAAGTGCCTTCAGAAGCTCTGGGCATATTTTTCCTGTAGGAGAGTATCTGGAGAAATTTAAAGCATCAGAAGTCACCACCTGCCCTGGGTTATTCCCAAATTGTGCTTTTTCAGGCACTCTTGGGGATGTGTCCAAAAGCTTCGTGAACCTGAATGATCCAGCTGAAGTGAACAGCTACTGGGCCCTGAACTTGACCTCCACGCTGTGCCTGACCACCTGCATCCTGAAGGCGTTTCCTGCCAGTCCCAACCTCAGCAGGACAGTAGTGAACGTCTCATCTCTGTGTGCCCTGCAGCCCTTCAAGGGCTGGGCCCTGTACTGTGCCGGGAAGGCTGCCCGGGACATGATGTTCCAGGTGCTGGCTGCCGAGGAGCCCAGTGTCCGGGTGCTGAGCTACGCCCCAGGTAGGTGGCAAGTTCCACCATTCCTGACCCTCACAGCTGCCCCAGGAGCTCAGTCTGCCCTGAATATGTTGTCACCTTAGAAGACAGACTCACTCGATGGACGCTGGTAAAGAAGCCAGGCCTTGCTGAATGCAGATCTCCCTGACTGAACTGTGTTGGAACCCTAGGGGGATGCTGGGCCCTGCCCCACTGACAGTCAAAGGACAGGGGTGGGAGTGGGGGTGCAATGGCCTAGTGACTGAATCCTCACCTTGAATGCACTGGGATCCCATACGGGCCCCAGTTTGTGTCCCAGCTGCTCCACTTCGTTCAACTCCATGCTTGTGGCCTGGGAAAGCAGAGGAGGATGGTCCAAAGCCTTGGGATCCTGCACCTGCATGGGAGACCCAGACGAGGTTCCTGGCTTCTAACTTTGGATCGGTATAGCTCCAGTCATTGCAGCCACTCGGGGAGTGTAGCAGTGGATGGAGGCTCTTTCTCTATATCTGTTCTCCCTGTATATCTGCCTTTCCAATAAAAAATCAATCTTTTAAAAGGGGGCAGGCAAGGAGGTCCTGTGACACCTTCTCTGATTGCCTGACTGCTGACCACCATACTGTGACCCCGCGGGGCCCCTCCCCTAGCAGTGAGGCTTCTGTTGTAGGCTCAAGGCTGCTGCAGTGAGAAGTGCCCTAGGGTGCCTGAGTGGCTTGGAGCTCCAGTGCTCTGTACCTCTCGGAGATGGGGGCACAATCCCAGAGACATCCAGGTGCAGTGGCCAGCCTGAAGTCCAGATGCAACAGACCCCACATCCCACCAGGTTTCCAAGCTCTTGTTCAGCCCTGGGTCCACTGCCTCATGTTCTCTAGGCCTCGGTGCCTCACAATACGCACACACACACAGCATGCACTTGTCCCCCACCCCCCACCCCCCCGCCCTCGTGAGCTCAGCCAGGACTCAGAGAACAGTGACTAAATGTCAGCCACAGCCAGGGAGCAGAACAGATTCTGGAATGCCCCAGAGGCTAGGTGACAGCTTGGGAGGCTGTCTTGGAGCAGGATGGAGGAGATGAGATTGTGGTTGCGGAGCCCTAGTGCTCAAAGGCGCCAAAATGTCTGGTCTTGGCCTGGAGAGGAATGCTTTAACAGGTGTCTCAGCACAGGATGGGCTGTTGGAAAGGAGGCAAGAGCCCTGTTTTCAGGCTGCGCAGGGGTTGAAGGTGGTTCTCCTTCCATGAGGTTCTATGATTTTCTGCCCCCAGGGACCACTCACTCCAAATTCTGGGAGGATGTCATTCGTAGACAAAGATTCCACAGTGCATGTCTGAGCTTGGGAAGGAGGGATTCCCCTTGGGTGGGAGTATCCCTTGAGGGCTACTTGGAGGCTAGCAGGTGGAAGGCACTCCCCATAAATGCAGGTCATGGTAGGTAAGCTGTTCAGGGAGTGTCAAGCCTTTCCATTTGCCTAGAGGCTAGGAGCTAAGGGGAACCCCGAGTAGGTGGCCAGGCTGCTGAAGGAGGTGCAACAGTTGGTCAAAGGGTCTGGTCTTCCAAGCCGGAGGGTCCTCCCTGGTGTCTGGTTAGCAGTGGGGGTGGGTAGGGGCATGGCACAGGTTTTGAGAACTTCATCGCTGGAAACAGGGCAGGAGATAGGGAGCTCGGTTCTCATTTCTGTGATCTGGAGGGACATGCTCACTGGAATTTGGAATTTGAACCTGGAAGTCGGCAGCAACAGAATGGAGACCTTTGTGACCGTGACCACACATACCACTTAGGCCCCCAGCCTCGCCCCGGACAAGCGTACACACCCACTCTGGGAACCATGCATCAGCTATGCCCCCACCTCCATCTGTGTTTCCTCCCCATAGGTCCCCTGGACACAGACATGCAGCAGTTGGCCCGGGAAACTTCCGTGGACCCAGACTTACGCAAGAGGCTGCAGGAGCTGAAGGCCAGAGGGGAGCTCGTGGACTGCAAGGAGTCAGCCCAGAGGCTGCTGAGCCTGCTGCAGAAGGACACGTTCAAGTCTGGAGCCCACGTGGATTTCTACGACAAATGAATCCATGTCCTGAGCCTCCCTGGGGAGTGGGCACACCCACAGGCCTCATGGCTCCCCCCATCCTGCCACACTGCCCTGCACCCCTGCCTTCCCAGAGAAGCTCTCGTGCCTCCTGTCCTGCACCCAGAGACAGCAGTCTAATGGAGCCCTGACGTGGCTGGCGTCACCAGCTGTCAGGAGTCTGCACAGGAAGTCCCTGCAGGAGCCTTCAGAGAGTAGTCACACATGTTGGTGTCCCCTGTCCCCAGGAACAGACTTTTAGGGAAAGAAGCTGAGATACTACACCAAGGAGGTTGGGGCAACTGCCCGTGGTCAGTTCCTGGGGAGTGATCTGAAGTCACATGGAGGTCCAAGTCAGAGCACAGATGGCGCAGGTGCCAGCTCTTGTGGGTGCCCCCTGCTCAGGGCAGTAGGACCAGGACCTCCTGTTGAACATCACGTGCTTGTTCTGGTGCCTCCTCCCTCCGGAATAGACCAGCCCTTGCCCAGGTTGAGCGCCTGTATCCCCAACAAAGGCAGATGGAAATAAAATACAGATCACCCTCCCTGCCGCCTGCTTACTCCTCTGACATAGGACCGGAACTGGCCCCCGTGGCTCAGGGCCTCCGTGTACCCTTAGGCAGTGAACTCCAACCCTTCCTTCCCAGGCAGTTCTCCCCAGGCTGTCTGCCTCTCTCACACGCTCAGCACAAGGCTAGGCAGCAACACCGGAGACGGGCTGACCCAGATGCCCGTTCCCTCACCCTTATGTACCCACTGTGCTCCCACTAGTTGCTGCCCTTTCTTCGCCTTGACCTATTTGAAGGGTGCTCATCCTTCTCACCTTTGGAGCCTGGGACCTTTCCATAGCTCTCCTTGCATTGCCAGTTCTACACTTAGGCAGCAGTGCCTGGGAAGATTCCAGCTCCTGTTGAGGGCGCTTGGGGGATGTGGGCAAGGTGCAGAAAGAAGGCCCTGAGAGATGGAGTGCAGCCACTACTGATGCTTGGGTCAGTCTGTCTGCCTGGAATGCTGGAGCTGCATCATGTGCAACCAGCCCTGGCCCTTGTGCCGCAGGAGGGAGCAGGTCTCCTGCCTGTTACCCTCAGTGAGCAGCAGAGGGCGCACTGAGGCCGTGCCTCTGAGAACCCGGAGGTTGCCCAGGCTGCAGAGCGAGCAGGGACTCGCCCTGCCCAGAGCCAGAGGCGCTGACCAGCTGCTGCTCTGAGCCTGCTTCCTTCTCTAAAACCGAGAATGATAAAGCCCTTCTCTCGAAGGGTCACCGTTAGCTTTGAGCGACCTGAGTTTTGCTCATGCCCAGCCCCATGCGGGTGTGGGATGTGCCCCCCACCCTCGCCCCAGGCGCTAACAGCATTTACTGGCTCTCAGTGGCCAGCCTCCAAGCTTCCTGGGACCCCGTCTGCCAGCCTGCTCTTCTCCTGGCAGCCCAGATACTGGCCATTTGCTGGACTGGAGCAGGAATTTCCCTCTGCATTGTGGGTGTTTCAGGCCATCTGGGTGGCACTTGGGTTTACATTCAGCAGTGTCAAGCTTTGGAGTTAGGAACCCTGGGTCGCACTTGGGTATCTGTGACAGAGGGTCTTGGGCAGAGCTCCCCTATGCACGCAGGCGCACACACACACACACAACGCTTCTGTTTGCTCAGCGCAAATGAACTTAAGCTTTTTTTCCTGAAAACCTTCCTCTAAGCTGTTCTAGATGTGATCAAGGTTCGTGGACTAGCCAGGGCTCCTGGCTCCCGGTGCTAGCCCGTCGCCTCGCAGACAATCCCACCAGTGGCTCTCTCCTCCAAACCAGTGGTGGTCAGGCTTTAGAGAGGAGTACCACCTGTGGCCACAAGGGGGCGAGGCCCTCCCACGCGTGACACCTGTCTTCTGCACCAGGATTAAAGAACCTTGGAAGTGCCCTGTTAGGCTTGTCTCCCCTGCAGTCCAAGATTCTGGACTCAGGCACTCTTGGGGGACTGGGTGGGGGTCCAAAATGGCAACCCTTCCCACCAGACTCCACAAGGATTTCCCAGGCCCTGCGCCAGTCCTTGACTCAGCCTGCCAAAGTCACTCTGATATCAGCCGGGCAGGGGTACCCCCAGGTGGGGCACACTGGGAACATGGAGGGTGATGCCCATGGCCTTGGCCACCACACATGTGAACACACTTGGGCATGCATGAATACACACACATGCCCAGAGTCCAGCTGCCAGACAAACAGAGCCACAAATAAGCCAAAAGGCAAACAGGGCTTCCCTTTGTCTTGGGTGTGAAACAGCACGGCATTTTCTGGGTCTGTGTTTGACAGCTCTAAGAGCTGGGGGCCAGCAGCTGGCCTGTAAAGAGCAAGGGAGTGAGGGGGCACTTTGAGGCCCACCCCCAGGGGAGCTACACCAGCCCTGTCTGTCCATGAGCATGAGCAGCTGGGACTGGGCTGCCCAGGAGCTCCTCCAGTCCCAGTCCTTCCCTTGGCTGTCCCACAGACACTCACACATCCTCCAGCTGAGTCCATTGTTGACCAAACCTGGAGGTGACAGCAGCCTCCTCCCAGGCCCCAGGCCACGCTCCTCTCCAGCACCTACTGGAGAGTCACAGAGGGAGGTCCTTCCCACAGAGCATGGTCTCATAGGCCCGACCTGACACGCACACACACAGAGCAAGTATGCCTGGCCTGCATGCATGTGTCCTGTCACCCCCAGGGCTGCCACATGGTAACTGGGTGAGCTACAAGCTCCTCTACTTGCCCCAGGGCTGAAGCCTCATCAGTCCTCCAGAGCCGAGAAAAGTGCTCTAGAAACCCCTGCCAGAATGTTAGCTGAGGTCACTGCAGGCCCACTGGGGGCAGGATGGAGAGAGCCGTCCTGGTGCCAGCTGCCCAGTCCCAGGGGAACCACTGCTGCTTGCCAGCAAGGCTGCCTCTTGCTCCTGGGTCTCAGCTCAGCGCTCCTGAGACCAGCAATGGTGGCTAACTACCCTTCCCAAGCCACAGCTTGATTCCAAGGATCTAGGGCTGTGTGTATTTCACAGCCTGCCAGCAGGCCCAGCTGCAAAGGGTTGGATGAACCAGTGAATGGGATGGCTCTGGGGGAATATTTGAAAAGTTCCAGGAGACAGGCCTCTGTACCTGGCCCTGCCCAGCCCTGTCATCACCTGGAGAGTTTAAAGACATCACTTCCATTGCTCCTTCTTCACTTCCAATGCAGTGGATCTAGGAGTGTCCGCACGTGGAACAGGGCATCGGGAAGTGAATTGTGAGCCTAGAGTTCCTGGCCATGACTGGCGGAAACCAAAGGAAGCAGCCCCTCCAGGAAGAGCAAGTTCATGAACAGGGATTGGGATCACGCTGGAGTCGGAATAAAGGATTGCTATGTGGCCAGGGCCAAGGTCACTGTAAGCCTGCATCTGGGGTCAGCCCAGGGCCACAATATTCCACACACAGAAAACCTGGGGAGGCAGAAGAGGCTTCCTGTTTTGAAAATGCCAATTTACCCACAAATGAATGCTCCACTAAGCCAGCCCACTGGGGGGAGAAGGTGACCAAGGCTCCACCTGTTTTCTCTTTTTCCTTTTTCTTTAGAGGTTTATTTATTTATTTACTTTTTATTCAGAAAGCAGAGTTACAGAGAGAGCAGGAAAGACAGAGAGAGAGCTTTCATTTGCTGGTTCATTCCCCACATGGCTGAAACGTCCTGGCAGCCAAAGCCCAGGAACCAGGAGCTTCTTCCAGGTCCCCCACATGGGTGCAGTGGTCCAACTACCTGGGCCATCTTGTGATGCTTTTCCCAGGCCATCAGCAAGCAGCCGGATCAGAAATGGAGCATCTAAGTCACAAACTGATGTCCAAATGGGATGCCGATGTGGCAGACTGGCTTTATATGCTACGCCACTGCACCAGCCCCATGCATCATTTTCATCCAGAAAGGGGGCCTTCTCTGACAGTTCTCAGTCTTTGGGGAGTGGAAGGCAAACAGGAAAGACCCCAAGAGCAAAGCAGAGGATCTGAAGGAGGCAAGTGCCACTGCTCTCCTGAGTATCCAGTAAACTTAAACAAACATGGCAGGGGTCAAAGACAGGTGGGGCAGGGTCATGAGAGAAGAAGATGGAGACAAGGAGAGACGGGGGAAGGAAGGAAGGTAAACAGAAAGAGCCAGAAATCTAGTAAGATGGATTTAGAGGGAAGGAGAGAGGGTGAGAGAAGCCACACAGCCTCACACGCTCACACACATACCCCTTTCTCTCTCCCTCTCTCTCACGCACACACACACACACACACACACACACACACACACACACACACACACACACACACACACACACACACACACACACGGCGTGTGCTCACGCAGCCGCCCAGAGCCTTGTTGGAAATCATCCCATTCGCGATGCCGGCCTCAGCTGCACAGGCAATGCCGAGCTGTTACCTTGCACATCTGTCAGCTCCAAATGTGGAAGCTGCCACAGGGTGGTGCGTGTGTGGGAGTTGGGGAGCCTGCATGTGAGCCTCTTCCTCCAGCAAGTTCTGAGGCTGTGGTCAGCACAGAGAGATCCCCAAGGACTCCAAGGCTCTCTTCGAAGTCGAGGCCAGCATCTGTGCAGACCAGGGTCACCCAGGTTCCTGAGCTGGCCCACTAGCCTTGACTGCCATGACCTGACTTGGTTACTTCGATCCAGGGGGTCCTACGCAGTTGTATCTCTCTGGAGTAGCTGGTTCTCCTGTCTGGTCAGGGGGGAGGGCAGATATCTGTGCCACCAGCATCCAAGATGCAGGGTGGCAAATGCCAATCCTTCACGACTTTGCATGTCATCCTTGCGCATGGGCCATGCTAATCTTCTCTGTATCGTTCCAACTTTAGTATGTGTGCTGCCGAAGCGAGCATGGCAAACGCCAATCCTAATGTGGGTTCGTTACTCCTGTGATGCTGGGATTCTTTTCTTCCTACTTAGTGTTGCTGGAATGTCCTCCCTGTGTCTAACTGCAACTTCCAGGGATACAACAGATTCCAGAGCCCTCTGGGGGCCTGGGGACATTGGCCTCCTCCGACTTGCTCATTCTGCAAGATGCTTCCCTTGACAGGCCTGAGCATGAGCACTGGGCCCCGAGTCAGGTCCACACAAGGCCAGGAGCTGCAGGGGTTAAGGGGGCTGGCACAAAGCCTGGGACAAATGACAGTGCTTCACTCTTCTTAGAAGGGTCCTCAGATGAAACAGACCAGGGAGGGTGGCTCTCTGCTGACCCTCTCTGGTTTCATCCCACTGCTGACTTCCCAAATGTCAGCCTGGTCCTTCTCTTTTGGGATTTGCTTTTCCTCCTGCTGTGACCCACACTGGGCACCGAGGGGCTTTATAGCAGTGAGGAGGAGACCCTGGAGACACCAGGTAGCTGTTCACCCCAAGGAAGGCAGGAGAAAGGCCCTGGCCAAAGGGATGGAGCCCCCGTGTCATGCATCTCCCATACCTGTCCAGCGTGAGCGTCCCCAACCCCCAGGTCCTGTCAAGATATGGGCACAGGTGCCTTCATCCACAACACAGGCCAGCATCCTCAGTCCCTACCTGGCCTTGGCAGAGCCCCCCTGCACCCCAGGTGCTCCCATTTCCCAACCCTTTAGCCCCAAAGTGGAGACAAGCTGGCTTTGGAGGCTCCTGGTGCCACAGACCAGACACCATCCATGTTGTGTGTGTACACATAGATGTGTGTGAACCACAGGAACCAGGTTCGGCCCCAGCTGTGTGTGTGTGTGTGTGTGTAACTTTGTCACCTTAATATTATCATATGGGGAGGTGGGGAATTGTGCCATGCTATAGTAGGCTAAGCCTCTGCCTGCAGCACCAACATCCCACATGAGTGATGGTTCTTGTCCCGGCTGTTCCACTTCCTTTCCAGTTCCCTGCTTATGTTCTGAGAAAGCAGTGGAAGATGGCTTAAGTCCTTGGTCCCCTGCATCCTCATGTAAGACCCAGAAAAAGCTCCTGGCTCCTAGCTTTGGATTGGCTCAACTCCAGCAGTTGCAGCCATTTGGGAAGTGAACCAGTAGATTGAAGATCTTTCTCTCTCTGGCTTTCAAATAAAAATAAAATAATCTTCATAAAAATATTACCACGTGGGGGCTTCAACACTTAGCTTTGCTTGTGCCTGGAGGAGTGTAATTGTGTGTGTACCTGTGTGTACATGATCTGACATAAAACTTGCCAGACAGCAGCATATGTATGTGTGTGCAAGTGCGAGTGTGCAACTGCTAAGCCCATACCCACCAGTCTGCTGTGTGAATGTGCAAGTAACTTTGAAAATGACTGTGAAGACATGTCAGCATTTGTGTTTCAGTAACACTGGGTTCGTGTATTCAAATTCCCAGTCCATACAACAGTGTACAGGTATGTGTGAGTGTGTATAATCCCAGGCCATGTTTGGGGGTCATACTGGGATTATAGCGCATCGCGCATGTGTGCACATGGGACAGGACACTGCCTTGCAAAAGAGGGCTTGAGATTTAACCTGTATGTGTGTCCACATGTGTACACGTGTGTCAGTGTGCTTCTGACACAGGGCAGCATTCCTGGAAAAGTGGGTATGTTCAGGCCTACAACTGTGAGTTGCCGAACTCCAATCACCTTTAAGACATGTCCAGTGAGTGGGAAATGTGTGAGGTGTGTCTGTTAAACACGGAACAGAACAGCAACAAAATGCCAGGCCCTGCAGTGGCAGCAGCAGATCACACACGTCCCTCTCTCTCTCCCTCCTTCCTCCCTCTCTCTCTCCTCGCTCCCTTTGCAGCAGCGTCTCAGCCCCTCTCTGGCGTCGTTCCCTCACACCTAAGCCCAATGGTGTTTTGCAGGCTTTCAGCTGTTACCTCAGTCCCTCCTCGCCTCATTCCCGATTCACTCCGTTGCTATAGGTATGTTTGAAACCCCAGCGTGGTAGATTTTAATTAGTCTTCCTACAGATGGCCAATTAACATTCATTACTTTTGCCTTGAGCGATTAATTATGAGTTTGGATAGAAAAGGAGAGAAGAGGAGAGGAAGATGGGCAGGTGAATGAAAGGAGAAAAGAGAAGAGGGTTTGATTGGAAGTTTGGAATTTTTTAGAGTGGGCTGTGGGGGGAGAGGGTGGGAAAGAGGCAGTTGAATCCCCTGGTTGCCAGCGGCCCCCCTCGGCCTGCAGCTGCTGGGGCCCCTAATCGGCTTGGCTGGCCCAGCCTTGTAGGAAAACAGAGCTCACACCCTCGTGTGGGAGTGGGCAGGCCCTCGGTGTTCCCTGACCCTGGTCCTTTCATGATGCCGGCTTCTTATTTCTTGTGCCAGGGGTGGGGGGTGGGGAACTGCGCCAGGACCCGCCCCCGATGCCACAAATAACCCAGAGACAGAGCTGCTGGCTGGAACGGGGGTAACTTGTTGACCAGGTGAGGAAACTGAGGCCCAGGCCGAGGAAAAGAGGCCCCTGCCCCTTTTCTTCCCCAGTCAAGGCGGAGGCAACACCGTTTGCAACCTTTCTTCAGTGTGCCCCTAACGCCCTCATGCTCACATAATTCTCTTGTACCATGCTCTGAGGAGTTGCAGCCCAGGTTGCTAACCCTAAGATCCTCCCGGACATGGAGGATGGAGGCCAAAATGCAAACTGCTCTTGTTGTTGTTGTTGTTGTTAGATTTGAAAGGCAGAGAAAGAGAAGCACAGAGATTTTCCAGGCACTGATTCACTCCCCTCTGTGTCCACAACAACCAGGGCTGGGCCAGGTTGAAGTCAAAAACCGAGAATTCAACCTGGGTCTCCCACACAGGCAGCAGCGACCCCAAGAACTTGAGCCACCACCTGCTGCTTTGCAAGGTGCACATTAACAGGAAGCTGGAATTGGGAACAGAGCCAGGGACTTACACCCAGGCATCATCTCAAGAGACAGCGTAACCCCTTGGTGCTCATGGTAACATCACAAAGGAAGTTCATCTTGCCCTCTATAATCATTTGTATATTCTACTTTCTCTAGCATGAATGTATTACGTTGCCAACATATAGCATAAACATATGACTACATATTACTTTACATCTTGCCAAAATACATTTTGAAAAAATGACACCTTATGATGCCCATCCCATCGGGTCAAGAGTTTACACTACTGGAGATCAGTGTCTTCAGAACTTAAAAAGAAAACCCTCAATGAATGTTAGCTATTATTAATAGAAGTACCATTTTTAAATAATGGTATCTGGGTGGTGGGATTTTTCAGAGGGTTATATTTAACCTTTTTTTCTTTCTGTATCTTTTGCATAGTGATTGTGCATTACTTTGGTAATAAATTAGTGGAATGTGAGAGAGAGAGAGAAGAAGGGAAAGAGGGAGGAAAGGCAGCTGTTACAACTGTGCGATCTGTGTCCTGGCTGTGCAGCACGGAGGTCCTTCTGCAGACCACTCTTCTCCAGGAACTTCCCCACGCGCTCTCTTGGTTGCCTTCATCTTTCTCAGGCCTCACACCCTCAGCTCCTTCCTGGGCCCATCATGCTTCTCATTCAGCTTATGGAATTTCTTGTGTTCTGCTCAAGTAGTTTTCTGTCTGGATGCATGGGGAGTAGGGACTGGAGACCAAGCCCACTACCAGGGCAGGCCAGAGAAGCTCACAGTCATGTCTCCACTAGCCAGCTTCCTTGCCCCCTCTTCTGCTCCCCAGGCACATTCACTTGCTTGCACTTCAGCTTGGTTCCTGAACTTTCCATGAGCATACAGAAGGCCTAGGCCCACATTCGGCTGCACCTTCCTTGCATATCTCAGTTCACATTTGCTCAGAGTGAGACTCTGACAAGCCAAGGCCTCTCTCTCTGAATCCCCTTAACTGCTCCTTACCATGGATGGGCCCCGGTGGATCATGTGTCCATTCTTGGTTGGTCTGATAAACGTTGGAGGGAAGGGTGGGAGACAACTGTTTCAAGTGAGTCAGACTTGCCTCTGAGGAGGGTCTGGGTGGGTGGAGAAGTGACAAGTAACTCTGATATTGTGCACCTGCCACGGACCCTGAAAACAACCCCTGTCACCCACTTAACACCATTCATTCTGTCCTTCCCATGTCCACTTGCTGTTGCATTTCAGCCAACATTTGAGAAGCTAAACTCTGTGAGAAAGACCACCCTCTCTTACCTCAGCACGAGGTCTAACGCTCAGCGCATACTAGGTTCTTGGTATGTGTCGAATGAATGCTGGAGGAGCATGTCCCATCATCACTCTGTGCAGTGTATTTAGGAAGGACTTTTGGAGATGCAAAAAGTAAACACTTTTTATGGAATCACTTATGAACTCTAGGCTTCCCTGGTGACAATTGGAGAGGATCCAAGTGAGTTAGAACTGTCAGAGAAGATTTCCCAAAGGAAGAGTCCGTGGAGCTCAAGGAGAGCTGAGGCTCTAACTGCAGCAAAACAAAGCTGGGCTTAGCAGCTCCTGGCAACCCCAAGCCAGGATGGAGGATGCTGTGTCCAGGGCCTGCATGTGATATAGCAGAGGGAGCTTCAAGTGGCAGCAGGGTGGGGAGGGCAGGGCTGAGGCAGCGGTACAGAGGTGGGGGACAAGATCTGCTATCAAACCCTAGAGAGTTCGAGACAGAGAGAGAGAGAGAGAAAGAGAGAGAGAGTTCTCCAGATGAGCTACCAGCTAGCTTGTTAAGAGGCGGCTGCCCAGTCTCCGGAACTCCTGGGCTCACCAAACCTGAACATGGATGCACTCATTAAAGGATGCTGGGTACCAAGTTGCTGGGGTTGAGGGCCTGGACTGATGCTGCAGGCAGGGGCAGACACAGGGTTGTCCCTAGGACTGGACAGGGCTGAGAGAATGGGCACAGAAGAGGCACTGGAAACCCAGACACAATGTGGGAAAAAAGACCCCCTTCTGTGGAGTGAGGAAGAG